GTCGCAGGGTGTGTTGGGAAGCCACGGGGCGCCGGGTGCCAAAGGCCCGGCAGCCGGTTTTCATTCCGGCTGGAACGTCGGCTCCGACAGCTCCGATGCTCCCAACAGCTGCTGGCTGAGAGGAAAGGGCTTTGTTCACTGCCCATCAGTGAGGAGCAGGCACAGGAGCTGCTCCCCCAGCAGAGAGTGCCTGTCAGCTCACATTAGACAGAGCAGCCGCTGCCAGCCAGGCAAGGGGCTGTGCCAGCCTGCAGGGACACAGCCCCTGACAGATGCCAGCCTGTTCCATACACCAGGAACATGGAATTTTGCCTACCCAGCAGCCTGTGTGTCCCAACCCAGACACTGCTCATGTCAACAAGAGGCAACACAGCAACAAGGGCAGGTTGGACAGGGCTGGGAGCAACCTGGTCTAGTGAGAGGTGTCCCTGTGACACAGGGAACGAGATGAGCTTTAAGGTCCCTGGCAACCCAAACCATTCTATGAACAAGGTATGAAACGACAGGGTCTCACAGCAGATACCAAAGCAGAGGTTGGTGTCCCCACAGAGGTGATGAAAGCAGCCCTCTGCCAAACTCGTGTGACACCTGCCACTCCTGAGTTTATTTAGAGAGGAAGGAGGGAACAGGTTCCAACATGCTGAGCAATCTCACTGTTCGAAGAAGGGTCACTGCTCATGCAAAGCTGAAGCCACCCAGCAACCAAGGTATTAGGGAAGGGTAATGCACAACACACTCACATGCACAGTACTGCTGGGCAGCTTTAGTACAGAAAATGAAGTATGCAAACATGAAGAGGCTGGGAAGAACAGCCCACACCATGGAATGCCAGAGGAGAGGAGAAGAAGACTACTTTGCAGCGGTTCTGTTAGGTGCAGCAAGGAGGAGGGATGGGACAGGAATTGTACTGGTTTGTATGGGTGGATTTGGGGAGAAAATGCCCCTGGTGATGGAGACACTGTGAAAGGAGGGAAGATTGCCATCTTGTGGAGAGCACATGAGGGAGGCTGTAAGGGAAGGCAAAGCACAGGCTCACAGAGCACAGGTACTGAAACAACTGAGTTACCAAGAACTCATCTACATTCACTACTCAAACCCCATCTCCACAGCAGCTCTGCAGCTCTCTGTTCCACTCTGACTCCCACAGGAGTGGCTAACTCCACAGTCACTGTCACCTACCTTCAGCCTCCTACTTAGACGCAATGCCTGTTCCTTCCCAAGACTTCCCAAAATGTAAAATACTATCATGAAGAAAAGGTAAACAGCTCATGACCATCCTGACTTCACTGTTAGTTTAAACACCTTTATCCCACTCTGTGCATATTCAAGGCATGACCAAGAAGTGTCTCACACCTTACCTGAATGACAGTGGGAAGAACCAACTCTGGGAATCCAATGCTGCAGGCTTGGCAATGCAGATACTCAAGCATCAGATCATAGAGCTGTTCAATGAGTCCATCCTGGGTAAGGGAAGCAGAAATGGAAATATCAGATACAAACTAAACCCTACAGCACCCAGAATGGGAAATGAGTCTCCAGTCTTAGGAGGACAGGAACACAAAGCACAGTTCTAGAAATAACTGCTGTTTGCAGAGAAGCTGGGCAGTGTTGACTGCTGGGGCTCCACTTACTCGGAAGGCCTTCTCCTGCAGGTTGGAATTGGAAAGCTTCAGGATCACTGCAAAGTTGATGGGTTTAGCACTCATACGTCCTGGCTTCTTGTTGAAATCCACTTGTTGGAAAATCTACAACAGAAAAAACTGAGTGTAAAGATGATCACACTACAAAACAAAACAGCTGCCACGACAAAGGTCGAATCTATTCTGAAACTGTCCCTTAAGGTGAAAAGTTTTACAACAACAATACTAAATGTTGCTTACATGAAATCCATTACCATTTTATTGCCACTGAAATAGTTGTCCTAGGAAGCAGAGAGACCAACAAGCACTTTTAACAGACCCCCCCTTACTGGGCAAGGTTTTTATTCTAACACATTTCCCAATTAACTGAACAGCCTTTGAATAAGAGTGTATTATTCTCCATGGACACATTCCATTTATAGGAAGGGACATGGAGAAAAACTGGCCCCTTCTCAGAGTTTGACAGGAGACCATGCACCCTGCTCACTGAAATGATGAGAACACACAAGGGTCCAGCTGGTTGCTCAGTGACTAGTATGTCATGTCAAAAGGCAGAGCTGCACCTTTGCTTTTGTGTTTTTCCAGAGCTTGTTTAATGATCATTGGCTGGGGAGAGGAGTATTTCTGAAACAGAAGGGATGAAGCTTAGACATTAGGAAGAAGAAAACAGAGAGGAAGTTTTTATGTGTGTGTGAGACTGGCTCTCCAGGGTGGCATCTCAAGTCTTGTTTTAATTAAGAAGAGCCACTATTGGCTTACAATTCAACAAACTGTAATCAAGACTATGAAAGTCTTTTCCCCACACCCTCTTTTTCTGAGAGGAGTTTCCCAGCTTCACTGGGGGAAGGGTAACATGAAACAAATGGAATTTCCATTCTTCACGTCCCCAAAAGGTGACATTTGGAACTTAGGAAAGCTGTCTTCAGCTGAAATCACCTACAGCCAGAATCTGCCTTGGTCCTACTGCCCTGGGAAGGTATCAGGCAACAGGGCACCATCCCCCAAGCCTGTGTGCTGAGCTGCTCTTCCTCTGGAGCTGTGATACATGAAAGAACAAAACATTTCTAAAACAAGCAGCAATATGAATGTGCCTCTTCCCAGCCTGGTAGGGGCAGACCCCAGGAAAAAGATGGTAAGAACTGCAACAATCACTTGATCCAGGGCAAATTCCCACAAAACTCCATCAGGGGATAACAATTGGCCATCAGGGGAGGTTCAGTAGCAATGGAATCTCATTAAAACAAACAAAAAAAATAATCAGCCAACAGTTGGTAATCATTTGCATAACTGATGACAAGCACTGAGGGGGGCTAGTGAGGAGTCTATCCTGCCCACCCACATTTTGGGGCACCTCAAAAGCAAACTACAGCTCCTCTCTCTGTCACCAGCACTTTTAATTTACCCTCCTGAGCAGGAAATAATTTCTATTCCCACTGTGCAGCAGCAGCACATTCATCATCAGACCCCAACCAGCCCAGCACAGTGTGGATGCAGCACAGATTGCCAGAGGGTGAGGAGGAAAGGGAGGGTGTTCAGGTCACATGGATACCCCCAGGCCAGAAAAGCATGGAGACGACTATTGATTTTTTTACATTTTATTTGTCAGTCCAGGTTATTTGGAAGGAAGGGACAAGCTTGGTGGCTTGTGAAAACAAAGAGCCCTAGCCCAGGGAATCGATGCTCTAAACCTCATTATGCATGGTTATTTCTTTGGCCAAAACAGTGGTATTGATCCCTGAGGTCAGACACATTAAAGCAAAAGGCATCGGGCTCTGTGGGATCCTAACATGCCACTAGGCAAGTGGGAAAATGCAACCAGAGGGTTTGAAACTCTCCCAGGATGTTCTCAGGAGCCTGTCAGAATTTGTGGGAAGGGGAAAACATGGTTCCCATCTCAGGCCTGTGCAGAATGGATCAGCTAACAGCCAGACTGAGGGAGAGGATGACTGATGTCTAAGAATCCTGTGGCAGTGTGGAAAGGGGATAATGAGGGACTAGAGGGCCAGAAAATGTCCAAAGCCAAGAACGTGGCTGAAGTGATAACCACCAGCAGACAGAGGAAAGGACAGGGCAATACAGGCAGGAAGGAGCGGGATTTTTGGCAATCTCCACCTCACCAACAGTTTCCACGTGGCTAGTGGGAAGGGTGCTCAGACACACAGTTTTCACTGCCAGAGAGCAAACCAGGAACCAACTGTGCACCCACAGCACTGCCACTGTATCACCACATCTCCCCCCCTTTCCTTCTCCCAATCTCTAGCAAAAGCCTCTTGGCATCTGCTTTGATCAGCCCCAAGCTGGCTGCCCCAGGCCAGCTCACAGCAGGGATGCAGAGCTCTGCTGGGGCTGCCTGCAGCTTCCCCTCAGCTCTGTCAGTCACTGCTGAGGGGAGGGCTGAGAGAGCCCAGTTCAGCTCCTGAGGCAGTCTGATTACTTCTTGTTCAGACAAGCTACCCAACTTTCTGCAGAAGCTGGCTTGAAGCACTCAGTCTGGTCAGATTTTGAGTATCTCCAAGGAGAGATACTCCACTCTTTATGCATCCTGTTTTAGCCTTACCATATTAAACTGTTCAGTTTTGCTGTTGGTTCCCCCTGCCCCTACAATGCTTAAGTGCAACCTCCTGTATTTAATTTTCTGGATACTGCCCCCTGTCTTGTCACTGTGATTTGACAAAAGTCTGGCTTCAATCTTTTCATTCACAGAGTGGTTTAGGTTACAAGAGAGCTCTGGAGATCTTGTCCAACCCGCCCTCCTCAAGCAGGGCCACCACCAGCCAGCAGCCTAAGATGATCATGTCCACACTGCTTTTGAGTAGGTCCAAGGATGGAGACACCACAACCTTCCTGGGTAACCTGTGCCAGTGCTCAGTGACCCTCACAGGAAAAAAGTGTTTCCTGATGTTCAGAAGCAGGTGCTCCTGTGTCCCAGTTTGTGCCCATTGCACCCTGTTCTGTCACTAGATACTGGCTTCATCTTTCTCCTTTCATTTATTTCATACACACTAATAAAATGCCCCCTGAGCCTTCTCTTCTTGAAACTAAACAGTTTCATCTCTTGCAGCCTATCCCTCATGACAGATACTCCAATCCCTCAATCTCTGTGGCTCTTCCCTAGACTCTCTCCAGTATGTCCACATGTCTCCTGGCCTGGAGAGGCCTGAACTGGACAGTACTCCAGTCATGATTTCACTCATGCTCAGCAGAGGGGAAAGACCACAGTCAAACTGCTGGCAAAGCTCTACCTGAAGCAGCCCAATGTGCCACTGGTCTCTTTACTGCAAGGGTGCATCCCTGGCTCTTGGTCAACACATTGTCCATGTCATTTTCTTCACAGCTGCTTTCCAGTCAGCCCGCAGGATATTGTCCTCTGGTTACTCTTCCTCAGGTGCAGGATGCTGCATTTCTTTCTGTTGAGCTTGCCTGCCCATTCTTCCAAGCTGAAAAGGTCCCTCTGAATTGCAGGACACTTATCTGGTGTATCAGCAACTCCTCCCAGCTTGCTATTATCTGCAAGTTTGCTGATGGTGCCACTCTGCCCCACCATTCAAAGCATTAATGAACATGATGAGTATCAGCCCCAGTATCAATCAGGGTGCATGACTAGTGGCTACCCTCTAGATTTCATGCCACAGATCCCAGCATGAGCCTGGAAGTTCAGCCAGCCACCAACACACCTCAGAGTCTGCTTATCTAGTCAGCAATTCATCAGCTTGTCTGTGAGGAAGTTATGGGAGATGGCATCCAAAACTTTGATAAAGATGAACGACATCTGCTGCTCTCCCTTCATCCACTGAACCAATCACCTCATTGCAGAAGTTATTAGGTTGGTCAGGCATGATTTCACTCAGACAGCCCCTGGTACCTGCAGGGCTGTGAGCCAGAATTTAAGAGCTACAGTCTGGTGGTGGAAGGAGGAGAATGAGGAAAAGGAAAGGTTCAGTTGGTGCAGCGGTTCAGCTCAGTCTGTCTATAGTTCTAGTTTTGCCTCTCTGTGCAAAGAGGCCAAAGAGTCCATGTCTTGTAGAAAACTCATTTCAGACCTGTACTTAGATGTATGAATGTCCAAAAGTATCAGTTCTCCAGCTGGCCATGCAAAGCTGAAGCTTCCTATCTCATCCACACAGCTGGAATACATCTCCAGTCCAAAGATAGCTTGTGGTTACAACACTAAGGGTTGTAAGAGTGTTCAGGTAACTCTAACAGAGAGAAGGAAGGAGATGGGAAGCTATGGAAGTATAGATGAAAAAGTCCTCATGCTCTTAGGAACTCCACAGATTATTTGAGGGATCTCTTGCAGGGGACAGGCAGGAAGAAGGGAAAGGCTGACAGCTGCAGGGAGACATGGGAGGTCAACATCATGCCAGCCACATTGGGTTTGAGAAGTTAAGAGCAAAATAATTGCTCAAGTAATGTGAAAGATCTCCCCTTGTCACCAACACCTGGCCAAGCCCAGCAGTGCCTCACAGCAGGCTCCGATGTGGTTGAGGCTGGAGGAAGCTGGGAGGAAGCTAAGTGTGCAGCGTGGTAACGTCTGGCTGGGGCCCTACACACAGGTTACATTGAGGTGTGGGGGCCAGAATGCAAAGGGGGGGGAAAGCCCCAAGGGAAAAAAGGCTTTATGTCTCCAAGTACTAAAAATTTGAATGGAGAGACACCATCCTAACCCCAAGCTCTACTAGCCCAGAGTGGAGATGCCTCTATCACTACATCTGGTTGGCAAAGCATCAACTATGCAGGAACAAGAGGAAGGAAGCAGCGAATGGCAAAGCCACACAGGCCAGGGTGCAGCAGAGCAGGAGATTTATAAACACCACTGCCTTCCACAGGCTCAGAGGATGTGGTTTGCAAAGGACGTTTACACCACCACCAAACCACAATAAGCCTTTGCTTCAACAAAACTTGATTAGGAATGAGCCTGGTTGACTCAGGTCATTTATTATAGAAGTCCCCCTTCCTCCTCCTCCTTAGTTTCCAAGCCTCATGCTGACCTACTGGGGCTTTCGCATTCCTCATCCTGCTAATGTCATGCTCCTTCAGTGAAATATGGCTGCACCATTTCTGTACCACTTTCTCCCAGCAGAAAGGCCTATGTGGAGAGCTGTGAGGCATCTGATATGTGGGAAAGCTGGATGGTCTCTTAGCACCAGTAATTCAAACATATTGCACTTTGCCAGGTTGCATTCACTCAGGTATTTTTCCTAAATAATTTATTAATTCTTGAAGGGCCTTTTTCCTTCCATTTCTCTCTGTCTGCAGCTAAAAAGAAATTCCTCCTTTTGCTCAAGTCTGAACACATCAGCAGGATCAAGTAACAGTTTGGGGAGTTACTACAAACAGTTGAGCCTCTGACTCTCTGGCAAACCCTTTGCACACTCCAACTGCATTAGTTAAACCACCCAGGAATGTATTTTTGCACCCAGCTGATCTCAGATACTCAGTCCAATAGAAGCTTAATCTTATTTGCTAACCAAACAAATCGTTCTCCCTGATGCTGCCTGCCAGGGACTCTAGGGACTAAGCAAACTGGGCAACCTTGGAAGCTGTGGGTGGGTATGGTGAGTGTGGTTAGTAGGCAGTAGGCATCAGCCATTGTTAGATTAGCAGGAACCAACAAACCTCCAGGATAAAGGGCAACACTGGGATGAAGGTCCTGGTGTTCTCAGACAGCAGTGTAAGGGCACGGATGCAGTGCATGCGCAGAGGGTAGAAACGAGATGTTGGTACCAGCCTGAAAAGGAAAAAAAAAGAAGGATTTCAGGCCAAGTTTCTACAGGAGCTGCACCTGCAGCCTTAAGTGACACTTGAGAGCCTTTCCTAATCTACAAAAGAAGGCTTTAGCATTGCCCAGCAAACTGCTGTAGCTACCCCACAGTTGGAAATAAAATTCACAGATGTTAAAGTTACAGCACTACCACACAAATTCCTGCAGCAAAGCACTGGGTTTCCAGCTTCTGCTGGGAGAAAGTGCTACAAGAGCTTTGCAGATGACTGAACAGCCTCTGAAATAAACTTCATGTTCAACACTTTCAGCTCTTGAGTTCCCAGCACAGGTAGGTACGCAAGAAAGAGTGGCAGAAGTAAAATACCCATATAAAGCAGCACATTTGACCAAGAAAAGGGCTACCCAGCCTGCTAGAGGGGGTACAGGGAGAAAGATTTCTCCCCATTTCAGGCTACATACCCTCTGTATGCCCACAGAGTTGACCCTTGCAGTGTGGAACACTACTGGGGCAGGAGCAGCTGGATGGCAGTGACCAGTATATCAACAAGGACAGTGGGAATGACAGTGACCTCTCTCAACAAAATCTGTTCAGCTCTCTCCAACCCAGAGGAGCACCTGAGCCATTCCTGTCTCCTTCAGCAAGACAATGTGAACATTTGAATAGCTGGTCATCAGCACGGAAGGGAAGAGGCCAGACTTTCTCTGACTCACTCTTCAAAGTACTACACACTCAGATAATAAGAAAGGAGCCAACTTCCTTCATAAGATTGGGACTGAGAGGGTCACCTCCACCAGCATATCAGCCAACAGCAGAGGGAAGAACACAAAACTCTTCCTAAAAGGCACCAGAGCTTATTACTCTGCCACTCCAGATACCATCTCACATTGAATGACCTGCACTTGAAGACATGGGTGTCTCCAGCATTAACAAGATTTATTTAAAAAAACAAACAAGCAAAAAACCAAACAAAAAACCAGTCCCCAGACAAGAGGCACACAATCTGATAAATGATCCCCTCCCCAAAGAGCTAGGTGAGCAATCCAGGAGAGGGGGGGAGAAAGTAATAAAAAATGCTTGACCAGGCACCATAAATCACCTGCATCTCCCCCTCTCCAAATAGTGAAATAATTATCATTGGTTCCATTACAGAAATAAATCTACTTTGCACCCTGATCTGGCACCACTGGAGATGACGAAAGCCATTCTCAGGAATTAATTGATCAAGGAATAAACCTGTTAAGTGTATAGATTTACTGTAAACCAAGACCATTAATTTTAGAGTGCGTGGCGACGCAACAATCTGCCCAGCTTCCCGGTGCCTGGATGCACAGGGAATACACAACACAGCTGGGCCCAGCTCTGCTGAGGAAGGTCCAACTCCAAGTCACTCCAGGGGGTTCAAACTCACTCACATTTCATCTCAATGAGTGCTCTCTGACGTCTTACCACCACCAGGGTTTGGGCTGTGGTGTAGAGAACAGCCTAGAGGCTTCTCAAGGGTTATTTTTATTCACTGAAGCTCCTTCTGTTATACTCCTGGGTAACCTCCATCTTCCTCTGGCTAGAGAGGACTAGGACAGGACACTGAGAGAGCTGCTCAGGGACACCAAGGCTGTGCTTGCTCCTCCATGGAGGAGCCTGTACCTGCTTTCTCCCCTCTACGTGTTGAGAGGCTGGAAACCAAACTTAACAGGCACAGAAAATCCTCATCTGGCTGCAAGCCAGGGAGGAACTTCATTTTCATAGCTTAGACCAGGAGCAAGGTAGAAATCTAAGCAGACATGGTCAGAAACATATTTTATGGGATGAAGAAAAAAGGGACAACAGGAGTTTTTTGCAAGAAAAAAACAACACCCTTTGAACTCAGGCAAATGCAAGCACAGAAATCAAAAGCAGGAACTTATGGACTGGAGACAGAGAAAAGCACAAAGCAAAGAAGGGGGAAGCATCTCCTCCACATTCTATCTCTGCAGTACCTACAACACTACCCCACTGGTTAAACTAACTGCAACCTTTCAGCTGTGAGAACAGCACCACTCTGTTACATGGCAATGCCATGAGCTAAGTCAGCAGTGAGGCTGTTCCCAGTCAGAAACCATCAATCCAGCACTTCTCCCTTCAGTACTCCTACTTCTCTGGACCACATCTTGAGCACAGGAAACTTCCAGACACACACATGGGGTCCACCTCTGAAACATGCATTGTTAAAAATAGTTTCCATGTGTTTTATTGCTGGAAAGAAGGAGGGAACAAGAAAATGAAGTTTGTTGGGTTTTTTTGCAGGCTCTATCAGTTCTCTTATTTAATCACTTTTCAAATTCTGCCCTGGCACCTGCCTAGAGCAAAAAGCCTTAGGTGGATGGTGGTTTCCCCTCGCTTCCCTCGTGTAAGAGGCCAGGGCAGCATGAGGAGTCCCAGGGACAGACAGACCCCGTTCGCTGGAGCCAGGCGCCATCTCCCGGTACAAAAGGGAGTGGGGAAGAGGAGCCTCCTCCCAGCTCAGCCACCCTGCGGATATAGCCAAGGACACTAGACCCCAGCAGCAGCAATGAAGGTATTCCAGACATTACACAGCATGCTTCCAACCCACCTGATCACAAACGCTCCCCTCTCAAAGCTGAGCAGCCCAGAGAAGCAAGAAGAGGGGTCCAGCTCACAACATCTCCACAAGAGGAGCTGCTCACAGCAGTCAGGTACTAAAGCAGCCCCCAAGCAGATACAACCCCCTAAATGGGCCTTCCAAAAACAAAACCCTTGACCTGCAGGCTAGATTATTTTATCTCCAATTAGAAACAACTCATTTTTTTCCATTGCACTCAGCTGCTACAGACACATCTACAGCAGGGGATGTGGCACAGAGCCTGACTGGCTGCTCTGGGTTTGGGCAGCACAGCCACCACCACTGAGAAGCTGCTTGTACCTGGGAAGATGCCATCCTGGGTATGGAGTGAGGCCCATGGAGCCACATCATCCCCACATCTCCTAACCTGCCTACTCCTTTTTTACACCCTGCACACTGGCCTTGGCTCAATGAAGAAGCCAGGGTGGGATTTATTTCTATTTTCCCACCCTAGAACTCATCTGTTGGGTTCCCAAATCTTTGAAGCCTTACAGAAGTAACTGTACTTCATGCCAAGCAGGCCTGTCCACCTACAAATTCTATTTCCTTCTCTTGCTAAAACACCCAATTCACCTTTCCTTGGCCCCAGACAGCTGATTTATGTGCCTGGACAGGTAGAAAACTGCCCGGATTCATCTGCAGGACAAGCAGAGCTCTACAACAGCAGTGGGAAGCAGCCTGAGCTCACAGGGGATGGGAAGAGGGATGGATGCAGACTCTTAACGATCGTTTAAACCTGCTTATCTTCATCACCACTTGGGAGCTTTTCCAGACCAGGCGGGTGGTGTTTTAAAGCTGAGAATCTGGTTAACAGAGCTAACAGGATTGCAGAGATCACCAGAGATTCAGAAATTCCCTCCCCGCTCATTATAAACAGCCATTTTAAAGCACACAAAGGTCATACATAAACATACAAACTGATGGGAAAAGAGAAAGAAATTCGCAGCAGAGACATACTAGAAACAATAAATACATTCTAGTTCTTCAAATATTAACAAATATGCACAAAAAATACACCTTCTACAGCATTTACTAAGACTTGTTTCTGTACTTTGGCACTGCTGGGTCCTGAGGCAACTCAGTAGATTCTTCCTTGAGGTTTTGTACAATGGGGAGGATTATTTGGTCCAGACCATCCAGAGTGCAACTTCTCCTCTACAGAGAATTTAGTCTGGGAAAGAACAGCCTACACCTCAACTACCTCACTGCCTCAACACACAGGTGCTCACAACACATCTTTGCCTGGAATACTATCATCAGAAGCAGCCCTCAGACAATTCCAAGTCATCTAAGAGGAACAGCCCTTCATAACTGCTCTGCCACATCAAGCAAGACAGAGAAGTACAGCCAAAAAAAAAAAAAAAGGAAAACAAATAATCTTACTTACTTTATACAGCCAATGATCACCTGGGTCAAAGGATAGATCAATGGCTCCATGACCTCACTAGGATAGATTGTGCTGAGAACCCGACACCAGAAATACAGGCAGTGGATATACTGCCAGTTATAAACAGACTGGAAGTTCTCCTGCAGGAAAAGGGAAAAAAAAACAACCAAGCACAAACTTGAAAATGTGGCATTTCAGAGGAGTTCACTCTGGTTTCTCTACAGGACTCATTTCATCCAGCATTCTCCAAGAGGACATTGTGTACTGCTTAAGAGAGGAGTAACTAACAGTCTGGCTGTTGCTTTGATGCCAATGGCTGAGCCACCATTCAGTAAGTTCAGATGCTCCACTGGCAACCTCACAATTTGGTACCAGTCAGTGCTTTGGAGGAAATAATGAGCAACACAGACTGCTTTTCTCTACAAGCAGGCTCATTTGAGAAGGATGATCTAATGACTCAGCTCAAAGCAGATGGTGGGATGTGGCCAAGAATTAGGAAACCTTTAACTGTTCCGTTTACCCATAGTCCCTGGTGTCCCACAAGTAGGAAGGCTGGAAAGTTGTATCCCTGTGTGACACCCCTGTGAATTGCCTTCTGGTCTGTGCAGGCCAGAGAGAGGGCAGGAAGCTACTGATTCAAGCTTAGCATCTGAATTCCCCCTCTTTGCACTCCAGTTCCTTTGGTTGGTTATGTAGCAGCTTGTCCTTCCCACTTGAGGACTGTGTAATGAAAACCCCCTACCCAGCACCTCACTAACTCTGAAAGTTATTATCAGTGCTCATCTTAAAGATATTCCTACAAACAGTCACTGTCAAAGCAAGGACCAAGTGATCAACCCAGCATTCCTCCCTGCTTTTGGAAAAGACACTACACAGGACAGTTCAATTTTTTGTCAACTGCAGAGTAAAAATTATAGCAGAGCTGAGAACAAACTTCCAGCTCTGTTTCTCAGGCAGACTTTATGGTTGACACCAAAACAGGCCAGGGGTGCCTGGCATGCAATTATACACTGACTCAGCATTCAAGATTAAAAGAGGTATCTTTTAAAGAATGTTTGGGCAACCCTCCACTCTCCCTGCCATGTGCTTAAGCAGCCCATAGTGCCAGATTAAATAAAAGCCTGAAAAATGCAGGAGTTCCCCGTAAGGACACCCATTCCAAGGAGTTCTGCAGGCCCATGTCTTCCCCAGAACTGCACCAAGAACTGCTGAGTCTGCACTTCACAAGGTGCCTCAGCTCCAACTTGTGTTTGTTTCAGACAGACTATCAAAGCCCAGACCACCTCCTCTTTTGCATGGATGGAGCAAGATGTGCAAGTCCTGAAAGAAGGACAGAAAACCTCAGTTGCAGCCACTGGACCAAACCTTGCAGTAGGGACTGAAGCTGCAGCTAGAAACAGAAGAGCTCTCCCAGCTCTCTCCAGGTCACTGAGATGTACCAAGCAGCTCTGTTCTCAGCTGCTCTTGCACAGCACAGAGAAGCAATCTGCTCCTGTAATCACCTTCTAAAATCACCCACTGCTCCATTTAAATTAATTGGCTTATTACTTGGATTTGTATATTTTGGTTGTGCTATTGTCATTTTAAGTTCCTACAACCCTCCCCAGCTGTGAAATCCAGTGGATTTAGGTCTTGTCTGGGCCAGGACTGAGGGTGTGAGAAGCCAGTGCAATCCAATTAGGGTCTATGCAACCCAGACTTAATTTATCTCTGCTTATTTATCCCCATGTCTGAACAGCAAGGAGATTTAACTGGTCACCAACCCCGCAATGTTTGGGGGCAGCTGAACAATTAATCTATAGGGGTCTTTTTTGCTAAATATGAATAAAGCCAGGATTAGCAATCTGACTCAGGTTGCTGAGGTCAGACTGGAGGGGGCTGAAGCCAGGGCTGCTCCCAAAAGGTCTGAGCTGCTTTGTTCAACTAAGTCCTTTCAATAGCGAGGTCTTCACTGGAGAGATGCACATGCCCAGGTGGTTCCTAATCTTCTTGACCTCAAGGTTTTGCAACCAGCAGCTCCACAGGGTGCCAAAAGAGTGCCCAAGGCACAACACAGAAAGTACATCACAAACTCTTGCAAGCTGGGGAGAAAAAAAGAGACCTGAACCCTGCAGTTGTCTTTCCTCTCCTTCCTTGCTGAAGTTCTACACACCAGCAGCTATGAGATGAAGCTCCCAGCCCCTGGAAAAATATTCCTTGGCATGTTATGAAATGGGTTAAATGCAAGGGTTCTGTTTTGGGCCCATTACTACAAGAAAGACATCGAGGTGCTGGAGTGAGTCCAGAGAAGGGCAACAAAGCTGGTGAAGGGTCTAGAGCAAAAGCCTAATGCAGAGCAGCTGAGGAAACTGGAGTTGTTTAGTCTAGAGGAAAGGAGGCCAAGAAGAGACCTTATTGCTCTCTACAACTGCCTGAAAGGAGGTTGTAGGTGAGGTGGGTGTTGGTCTCTTCTCCCAAGTTACCAAGAGATAGAACAAGAGAAAATGGCTTCAAATTGTGCCAGGGGAGGTTTAGATTGAATATTGGGCAAAATTTCTTTACTGAAAGAGTTGACAGGTCCTGTCCCAGGCTGCCCAGGGCAGTGGTGGGGTCACCACCCATGAATTTCATGATTTCAAAGCCATGTAGGTGTGGTGCTGAGGGACATGGGTTAATGGTGGCCTTGGCAGTGCTGGGATAATGGTTGGACTCCCTCTTCAAGGCCTTTTCCAACTAAAACAGCTCCATGATCTATAACGACTGTCGTTTTAGAGACATTACCAAAAGCCTGAAGCGTCTACTGTAATTTTCCCTCCCCAAACATTCCCCAGAGAGGGGGGGACACTCCTCCTACACCGAGGGGCACTTACCCTCTTCTTTATGGTCATGGCACTGCGCAGGTGGATGGCCAGTTGGCGGATGTAGATGAAGGCATGTTGGTAGGAGGTGTGTGTGTCCAGGGCGTACATCTCTGTCAGCGTGCGCTGCATGAAGCTGATCATGGGCAGGACGTTGGGGGAGGTGAACCTGGAGTTCTTCACAAAGGCAATGTACATTTGCTGGGCAGGGAAGAGGACAAGACACAACCATGTAAAACAAGAGGGAAACCATGATATCAGGGCCACAAGAATGAGCAGAGGGCTGGAGCACCTCTTAGGTGAGGCTTGTTCAGCCTGAAGAAGAGAAGACTCTTGGGGGGACCTTATTGTGAGGTTCCAACAGCCAAAAGGAGCTTGTAAGAAGGCTGAGGAAGAGCTGTTCACAAGGGCACATCACATAGGACAAGGGGTGATGGTTCTAAGTTAGAAAAGGGCAGATTTAGGTTGTACTTTAGGAAAATGTTCTTTAATATTAGGGTGGTGGATCACAGGTTGCTTAGAGAGGTGGGGGAGCCCCCTCCCTGGAGACAGTCAAGGTCAGGCTGGATGGGGATCTGAGCAATCTGGTCTAGTGTGAGACGTCCCTGCTTATTACAGGGGGGTTGGACTAGATGACCTTTAGAGGTCCCTTCCAACTCAAGACATTCTGTGATTCTCTGATTAAGCTTCTCCACCCACTTACATCCAAACCAGAGGCTAAATGTTCTTTTTATAAAACACGGCACTTCAAAGGAATATTCCTCCAGCAGGGAGGGCAGGAGCAGGACATCACTCTGACCTGAAGCAGAGCTTCTTACTCACTTAACTTCATGGAGGTAGCCACCATCTCCAGCACCTACCCTACAAGCTCATGCTCTAAGGTCTTGGCATATCATGTGAGAAAGAAAAGCTGCAGAGCACAGAAGCAGCAGCCTTACCTTGAGCAGGGGACTCAGATATGCCTCCTTCTTGTGACGGCAGATCTTGTTCAGCACTAGGAAGGCCAGCACTCTCACTGTCTCCTCACCTGTGCTCCATAAATTAATTGCTTGCTGAAAGAGAAAATAAAACCAGAGGTCAGCCAAGGGACAAAGAGCCTCTTCCTGGTTACACGAAGGCCCGAGTTTCCCTCCTTCACACTGAAAAAACAAACAAGGAGGAAGATGACACAAAAATGGGAGGTTGTATTATCATAGTATCAGTCACAACAGCACTGGCAGCAATCCTGGCCTCATACTCTAGCTGTGAGCCCATGCAAAAAGGAAAGGTTGATGTTTCCACCATCAATACAGGAAACTGTTCAAAACTACCACATCTGAAAAATATCTGCACTTTTATTCATGTGCTTAAATACACATTAGAGTTTCTAAGCATAGTCCAGGTGACAATCTAGGCTTTGCAAAGCTTCCTCACCTCCTCTAGACAACACCACCACACCAGACTACATATTTTACCAAGACATCTCCCAGCCCAAGAAAAAAAGTAATTTTAATGTCTCAACTGAATTCTGCAAAATACAACTACACTGTAATTACACTCCTGTTCTCACCACAAACAATAAATTCTAGTTTCTCAAAGAATGCTATTAAAGCTGCACTTGTCTCTGGAAAGGGTTTGATTTCAGAATTTACCAATGTTTTTTCCCCTCTGGGCAAATAGGTTAAAATCCTTGAGATATATCTCCTGGTGGTACTTCTGACCTACTTCTACTTCCTTGGACATTCACTGTATTAATACAAATGATGGAGCAGCAGGAGAGTTTGGAGCCAGAGGCAGGACCTGTGTAAGGAAGCACTTCAGCTGAGAAACACTCTTAGTCACTCTGGTACTAACCTGCTGATTGTGCACCCAGAGCACCATGAAAACACCTACACCAGCTGGAGAGGGGTAGTTCAGTTTGTGCAGAGGTCTGGGCTAACAGACAGCCCACCACTGGCATGTATACTCACTAATCTGAGTTTTACACATCTCTGCACTGCATAAAGCAATCACATATTGGTCTCTGCCTTCAACTTCTTGAGAAGCAAATTACTAGATTTTGTTCTTCACAGGCCTGTCTAAATTTGCCTGTTCAAAATATGGATTTGTTTGGACATGGCTGACCCTGTCAGGAAGCATCTGGTACAGCTGGACCACAATCACAGCTGATATACCCAGAAACTACCTACCTTATCTGCACTAATGAACTCTGCAGGAAATAAGGAAGATTGCAGTTGCAGGGCTGAAAAAGCCTACTAAAAAATCCCAAGCAGGTCTGAGGTGCACCAGCCTCCCATCACTTACACCACTCATCTTTATCATCAAAGGGTTCCCAGCCTCACTGAAATGTCACTTAGCAGCTTTCCATTTAAATGTCACCCTGTTGCTCCCTTCCCCGCCTCCTCTGTTGGTCTCGGTGCTCAGCAGTTGTGACTAAGTTTCTGCAAAAATATTCCACCCCCAGCTCCTGAGAATGAAATACTATCCCAGACACACACATACAGGGAGGACTGTCTCCATCTGTGGTGAGGAAGCAGCTTCCCCACAAGCCCTCCATGTCACTCTGTGTGAGGATTAGTAGCAGGTACACACATGCTCACTCTCCCCCAGCTTCATGGCACCTAGAGGGCCTGGAAGAGGAGCAGGAGCCCCTTTCAGGACCAAAAGAAAAGGTAAGAGGAGCACAAGAGACTGAATTGTTATGGGATCCAGCACAAATACGATGAGAAGCTGAACTGAAAGGGTAAAGGAAGTGCCTCAGATCCAAGTGATGTATCAGAGCATGTCACCTTACCTTGAGGAGTGCACGGCACTGCTTGGGGAAGGACAAATAGTAAGGGACTGTGGAAATGACATGCTGAAGGACTGCAGCACCAACTGAGGCTTCTGTTAGACAAGACAGGAGCTATGGAGGGGAAAAAAAAACCAACATGATCAGTGTGTAGTCCTCATCACCTCTTCCCTTACCATCAAGCATCTGTGCTTTGCTGTTTCCAGGTATTTCTGTGTTACCAAAGGACTGGAAGAGCAGCCTTCCCTATAAAGATCAAACAAACCCCCAAAAGCTTTACTGGGAAAGGAGCAGACACATGGCAGGTTAGACAACTTCCCTCAAAGCACATCCATCCTGGCAAATGTGGGTACAGACTACTGGACTTGGATGGCTGATGACACCTGAGCTCATCCCAGTAAAACCTATTTTTTATACTGCAAAAGCTAAGTCTGGAAACAGCTTAAGACATCTCAGATAGCACAACACCAGTGCCTCTGTCATCTCACTACAAATACTCAATGCACCACAAGAACCTCCTCAGGCTACACTAGGCTTGGCAACACAGCAACCAGAGCTACCTAACAACTTATTGGATTTCACTAGGATTTCTTTAATGGGAAGCTGGAATACTACTGGGTAATAAGCCAACTCCAGCTCGGAAAAGGTTAGACAAACTAATAAGAAAAAACACCTTGGTATTTCCAGGTTGTTCAGCTCAGCCCACCTGGAGCCAAACCCAGCTTCTAGTTTGAAGGCAAATTTCTAATTGGAAGGCAATGATAAGCTCAAAGTCACTCCAGTTGGAGAGGTTCTGCCTGGTGCAGTGCCCCCTCTTGGCTGCAATCCCAGTTGCTGGAAGCAGAAGCATTTTTCTTACTTTGAACTTTCCTCCTTATTCCCCTCCTTGCACTGCAAAGATTGGGGAGTGAGAGGATCTCCTTTGCAAAGACCCTCACAGACCAAGAGGAAAGGAGAAGATACTGGTCAGAAATCTCCAAGTCAGGAAAACTCTGTGGCACAGCCTGGGACTGAGGGCACTGGGAAGTACACACAGGAGCTGGGATGACTTCACTGGGACTGCAGTGCCAGCTTTTCCTTTCCTACTGCAATCTTCTGCTGCTGGCAAGAGCCACCACAACTTGAGAGGAAAAAAAAGCTCTTCTGATCAAATGCTCTTTCTGCTAAGTCATTCTGCCAGCTTACAGCTGAGAGATACCAGCACTTGCTTTGTCTTTCCTTGTATCTCCTTCTCTCAGCTTCTGAAGAATGAGTATTACAATGCTGTCACTTCGTTTTTAATATTCCAAATTTAGGGATGCAAATAAAAAAAAGACACATTAACTGAGGCAGGGAAAATAATAAATTAATTTTCTCTGAAACACCAGACATCAGCAACTTTAGATGGAGGGAATATCCTAGTGAGATGGAGCATAACTACACATAGGACATCTCCAAATATGATTAACATAGTATCATCTTAGTATTACAAGTAGCAAGATCATACTGCCAAAACCTGAATTCATGATGCAGAATGCAGGAGCACAGCACTGCAAGCTACTTTAGAAGCCCACTAAATATTAATGTCAGAAAAATAAAGACAGAATGAACTGCCAGAATGTTAACCCAGACCTTCTTCACCTATTTTGACCCAACTGCCCAAGTGAACATCCAAATTGTTTGTTAGATCAAATACTTCCAAAACAAGACAGGGAACTGAACAGACAAGAACCTCAGATGCCCAAGTCTTCAAGGCTCAGTGAGATTGCTCCTGCCCACTGCAGCCTCAGCCAGTTAAGTCTTATTTATGCTCCACTACAGAAGAAGGCATAGAAGCCAATACCCAAGTTTCCCAGAATTGTGATGACCCAAAAGTCACTTTTAAACTGAAATAACTGTATTTTCAAAAGGAAAAGCATTGAAGCTACATTGCTCCCTGCTTTGTTAATTGTTTTATTGTTCCTGTTGTTTACAGATGCAACACCCTAACTGTCCCCTACCAAAATAACCTGAACCAAAAGCCCAGCCGTGCACAGACTGACCACAAACATGCTGAAATGTCTTACTTGTATGGTAGAGCTGAGGTACACTTTTATGTCCTGTCGTAGCTTGCTCCAAAGTGGGCTGGTGGAAGGGAGGACCATTCTGGAAACAAGCAAGAGTTGGGTTTAGCTTTAAAAAAAACCCACCAAATCAACTAGTTTTCAGCAGCACAAATAAAAGATCCCTTCCTTGAAAATGGTTGAAGAATGGAAGAAAGCTGCAGAGGTGAGCAGGGAGTAAAAACAAGTGCTTGCAAAGCAAGAAGTAAAAATTTTGTCATGGGTGAAAAGAAGTAATTCTACTCTCTAAAAACTGCCTGAAGCACAGCATTGGGAAATTCAGTTCAAAGAGCTTCCCAGCAGAGTCCCAAACCTCTGGAAATGTGACAGAGAGAGCTGTGATAGCCAGAAGGGCTGGTGGAGACCTGAATCCCTCTCACTGATATTATCTCACTGCCTGAGAACAGAGCAAGCTGCCTCGTAGCAAAAAAAAAAATAATAAATAAATTAAGAAATCTATTTTGGGGATTAAACTAGTTGTGAGACAAAGAATCAGTCTCTTCTAACACTCTGCTCAGGAAGCAGTTTCCCCAGGCCAGCCCAAAATTCAGACACAGTCTGTAGAAGCCAGGCCTGGGAAGGAAAGAGGCTGGTATTTACACAAAGCACTGGAATTTAATCCTCAGACTAGGCACCCCTGTCAATGAGGAATCCATAATTTAGCTCACTCTTCATCTGTGACAGGGAAATTAAAAGTAACTGCCATCAAAATTACCTTGAAAATACATCTGAAAGGCATTCAGTTCTCACTCTACCCAACAATGGAAAAAAACAAAAAGAGCTTAAACTATTAAGTATTAAAACTGAATCCAGCTGAAACCCCAGAAAGGACTGAGCTATAAAGTTTCATCCAGCAAGACTTCAGACTGGTACTGACTGGATCTCAAGCAAATCTTCCAGTTGCTCCCAGGTAAGCCATCCTGTTACCTACTCAGTGATGAGCCCTGCCTGACTCTGAAACTCTCTGAACACTAACCCACACTACAGCCAGAGAATTCCCAGCTTCCAGGCAGCAGCTGAGATTTTAACACTGTCATTCCTCCTCTCTAGCCAAATCACTTTGTGTTGCTGAATGTAATACAGAGGTACTGGATCAATGCTGCCATTCTGGAATAGAATTTATTGTGCTGTTGTTTTTGCAGTTGCATGCTTGTTTCCATTCCAGCTGTGCCCTAACTGCTCTAACTCAGTGCTCCTGAGCAATTCCAGATCTTCTTCTGTTGAAGCCATATGTCCTCTGCAAATGGGCAGAGCCTAGTATAACAGGATGCACTTCTGAGGAAGGAAGAACCTGGCTAAAATGACTGTAAATTTAATCTCCAATCTCCTCAGACTTACTTGAGTTTGTTCTTTGGGGTTTTCAGGAGAAGCAGCTTCTGCAGGCAGTGGAAGAGGTCCCGGATGCAGAAGGACACAAGGGCATTGAACACTGGTTAAAAAAGAATTAAAAAAATATATCAGTAAAGCATTTTAAGTGATTTTCCATATATGCCTGGTTTCTCAGCTAACCTGAAAAGAGCTCCCCAAGGAGCTGAAGGCAGTAATTCTTGTAGCAGAACTATTGTGCTCCCACAAGCTTCTGAAAAACATCAGATTGTCCTAGCCTAGAATTTTTCATCTAAACAGCAAGATCACAGAACCAGGCACAAAAGAAGCCTGACCCATGACTAGGAGTCTGTTCTACCACCAATTGCCCCCAAAACATAAGAATTAAAGGCACTTGAAAAAAAAAAAAGAATCACAGAAATAAACAATGTGAGACACCAGAGGAGATACCACTGCATGGACTCATCACCAGGAAGAAGATAAGCTACTTAAGTGAAATGAAGCCTGTGAAAGGGTAAGTTAAGTCCTGCCATGACTTATCACCACCACACTCTTCCAACAGCTAAACCTTCCCCACCAAATGGCTTCCCTTCTCTCACAGGAGCAGTAAGGTGACCAACTCACCTGCAGCATCAGTGACTTGAAACTTGCTGGGATCAGTTCCACCACTGTCTCCTTTGGTGGTTGCTACAGCTGCTTTAAAGGCTTGAGTGATTTCATGGAAAAGCTTTGGAGTCAGGTTTCTCTGGGGAAAGAAAAAGTGTTGCTGAGGAGAAAAAGCAAGCAATGTTCTGGAACTCTGAAGCACTTTACTGGGACTGGAATTCTTGGAATTCATTGCAAGTTTGATTGCAAGAATAACTGCATCTTATAATGCAAAGGAAAATTGTTAAGGCACAGGCTCACAAGTACTAGTGGCCAACCTTGCTCCAAAATGTGCTTCTAGGGCTTTTGATTGCTTGGAGGTTGAGAAGCAATGAATCAGCTGCAAGCAACTATCCAATCTGACCCTTCCCTCCCCCCTCTCAGTCAGAAGCAGCAAGTCATTTCATCACAACTCAAAATACAACTCAAAAGTTCTCAGAGCTGCCAAAGCTTAGCGAGAGCATGAAAAATCAGAAGTTAACCATTCTGACCTCTTCTGAGCCACACAAGTTTCTCTAGCTCCTCCCTCAGATGGAGAACTCTCATCTTGCAGCCCAAGAAAAATTGCAAAGACAAGTAACACTGAAGCAGCAAGAGTTCTATGAGTATGACCTTGTTTGTAGGACACACATTTTCTCTGGGGATTTTTGTGAAAACTGAACAAGTTGAAAGTTGGTGTCTTAGAGGCAGTGATAGATGAGGAAGAATGTTTAAAGGCCACTCAAGAGCCCTGTATTCCAACTCCCTGCTCACCTCTGCAGCTTTCTTCCATTCTTCAACCATTTTCAAGCTCACAGGGATGAAGGAAGCTCTCTTCCGTTTGACTTTTTTATCTTCTTCTTCTTCCTCCTCATCTTCATCACTTGCTTCCTAGAGAAGTCAATACCAAGACTGAAAAAAAGGTTTAAACAATTCTGGCCCCACCTCTTTTGCTGAGTAGCTACTGCAGATGGAGGCAGGCAGCAGGGACTTCTATTAATGCTGTTATCAGCACTTTGTGTGAAGCACTGATGAAATTACAGGTATTACAAATTCCAAAAAAGCTCCTTAAGCCCTGCAGCTTTTTGCTGCATCAATACAACGTGCAACAGCATCAAACATCAAGGAGGAAACAAATCACTTGAGGCACAAGACGGTCTCACTGGAGAAGGAGACACAAAACCAAAGACACACTTCTAAGGCTCTGCTTTCACAATCCTTAACAACCTCCCCATGCTCAGTTCAAACCCACAGCTGATTTCTGGATTACAAGCTGCACACCTGCAGGTGATCTTTGCAGAAGCTCCTCCCCAGCCACCTGTGCCTCTAGAAGCCCAAATATACTTAGGCCTTGCACTGAACCCAAATAGTTAACATGTAAATCAGTGAAATAATTTATTTCAGCACTACAAAATAGGGCCTGGTACCTCCAGTGTCTCAGGTGGTATATGAAACTTCTCCTCCTCATCAGAACTGTCTGAAGCATCAAAATTCAGCAACGTACGATCGTTCTCCTCCAGAAACTTATAAAACTCAGGATCTTTGTCCTTCAGCCGGGAGAGCTGATCTTTATGTTCAGAGGCCTTTCCCTTCTTCCTGGTAGGTAAGAATCCACAGAATGGTTTTACTCATTGCTCAAACTTCTGCTGATGCTGTAAGAAAATACAGCAACTTTGGGGCATTAAAGTACAGGTGGGGCTAATTGGACCTGGTGAGGGATTTACCAGGGCTGTGGCTGCATTTAACACCTGTGTCTCATTTAACACCTGTATCCCATCTAGACCCCAACTTTTGTAAGGTTATGGTTACTCAGCACTAAGAAATGTTGACAGCAAGCTACCAACTTTTACTGAGGTACTGACCAGAGGTGGTGAAAACCTCCTGCAACACCAAGTCTAGTCTAAATCCACCCTCTTTCAGTTTAAAACCATCACCCCTTGTCCTATCACTGCAGTCCCTACTAAAATCCTTGTCTTCTATTTATAAATCTTTCTATTTTACAGCCTTTAAGCACTGAAAGGCTGCAATAAGGTCTCCCCAGAGCCTTTTTCCTCAGAATTCCTTAGAATTCCTCCTGCAAGGTTATTAAAAACCCCACACAAACCTACATGACCAGAGAAATCTAACAAGGAAAGGCCGGTAACATTTTAACCTGCTGTTGCTTCGGCTCCTAATCACGGCTGAAAGGCTGCTTCGTTATTTCCTAATCGCAGACAACCCCAAAGCCTTTCGGCAGCAGGAAATGGACACAAAATGAGGGAAACCAAAGCCGGGTTAGTCGGGCCCTTCCCCACCTGCCGGCCCTGCCGCCCTGGGGCCGCCGGGGCCTGCCCGCCTCCTCCTCCTCCTCCTCACCACCT